GATTCCTGAACTACACATAATAATTTTTGTGATGACCCTTTTGGTTTCCTATATAATTGATTATTTTCAATAATATAATATGTTGCTTGTTTTTTAAATTGTTGTTGTTTCATTAGATTTAAGTTTGAAGTAATACCGAAGTTGTTAAATAGTTAATAAAGTTGTGATAGAGTGTGGGTTCCATTTTGGTGAAAGTTTTTAAGTATTTTCCCTAGGGTGGATTCCTAGAAAGACAAGTAAATGCATCTATATTAGAATGGACTCAACCTTTTTGGTATATAACTGTATAAGGGTAATTAGCAATTCATTGTATCCATCGAGTTACTCATTTGTTAGAATTAGATTAGTTTAATAGCCAACGTAAAGTAGAATAATTTGTAATAAGTTCAAAAGATCTAAGATAAATATAAAGTCAAAAATATTTCATTTCCCATACCATAGCAAAATATTCAATTTCAGTTGAAGAGTAATTGATTTCAGCAGAATTTAGAGATCTGCTTGTATGCTCATGATTATCATCATCTTTTTAAGCAAGAATAGTATCTAAACCCTGATAAGAAGCATCAGTATATAAAATAAAAGGTTTGGTAAAGTTAGAGTATTGAAGAATAGGTGCAGTTGTTAATTTTTCTTTAAGAATATCTATTGCTTGTTGACAGGTTTCAGTCTAAACAAAAGAAGTATCCTTTTTTAACAACTTATTTAGAGGTTCAACAATTCATGAAAAGTTTAAAATAAACTTTTAATAATATGAAGCAAGGCCAATAAATCCACAAAGTTCAGTAAGATTACGAGGTGCAGGATAGTTTTGAACTTTATTAATTTTTGATGGATCTGAAGAAACTCCATTTCTACTAATAATATGTCCCAAAAAGGCTAATTGCTGTTTTCCAAAACAACACTTATCCCTTTCTAATTTTAGTCCAGCATTTTGAAGACATTTAAAAACCTCTTTTAAGTATTCCAAGTATTTTTCAAAAGTTTTTGAATAAATAGTAATATCATCAAGATATACTAAAATAAATTTATTTTTAAGATCAGAAAAGATTTTATTCATAGCTTGTTGGAAAGTAGTAGGTGCATTAGTTAACCAAAAGGCATAACATTAAATTCAAACAACCCATATTTAGTAATAAAAGCTGTTTTTTCACGATTCTTAGATTTTACTTCAACTTATCAATATCCACTAGCTAAGTCAAGAGTAGAGAACCATTTTGCACCTTTAAAAGTATCCAAAATTTCATCAATTCGTGGTAGAGGATAAACATCTTGTTTGATAATTTTGTTAAGCTTTCTGTAATCAATACAGAGTCTAAGTTTACCATTTTTCTTTTTTACTAAAACAACAGAAGAGGCTCATGGACTTTTCAATAGAGATATAAGCTTATTTTCAAGCATCAAAGAAAGTTCCTGTTGAATAAATTCATGTTCAGCTGGAAACATACAATAGGCCCTTTGATAAATAGGTAGGATATTTTCAGTTATAATTTGATGTTGGTCAATGGTTGTTTTGCCTAGATTATTTATTCTTTTGAAAAACATATGGTCATTTTCGATTAAGAATTGCTGTAATTGTGAGTTATTTATAAAAAGAAGATTTGTTTTCTCAAGATCCTCCTTAGTAGCAAAACAACTTATTATTATTTTTTTTTTTGGTATTAAGGTAAATAATTTTTGAAATAGCAATAGTGTAAATTACTACAAAAAAGCAGATGTTTACAAACTGCTACTATTTGTATTAGTACAAATAAAAATAAAAATTATATGCAAGAATAAAAGCTCAGATAGTGAAAATTTATCTGCGACCTAAACCTACTAGAGTGGTCAAAGACTCACCTAGGTGCAAAACAACTTATTGCTTCTCTCACTTATATATATTTGAACATGTTTTTTGTGGCTAATTACAATAACATTTTACAACTTGAGAATCACTAGTTTGTTCAGAATAAAAATTATAATTGTTAAAAGATTCATTTTGATATTTAACTTGGGTATTATTAATTTTAAATATAGGTTTTTTATCAAAATTTCCTATAACTAAGAATCCTTTAGATTTCTTCTATTTATCATCAGATGATTCATATTCATCTTCACTAATTTCACTAGAATTAGTTTCAGCAGATGAAGTTTGGTTATTTGAGTCATTGGACTCAGAAGAGTTTTTTAAAGAGATAGGTTCACCATTATTATATTGTGGCTTTTCCCAATATGTAATAGATAAAATATAAGATTTGTTGTCTTAAGTAAATTTAAATTGTTCTCTTTTTAAATTAATGATACCTTGTACTTTGTTAAACCAATTGACTCCAGAAATTATAGCATAACCTTGGGCATCAGTTACTTCCACATCAATTGGAATAATAGTATTAGATAATTGAAGAGGAATATTATTAATAATTCCTAGTGATCATTTTTTTCCACCATTAATATCAGAAAAATAAAGATTAGATAGTTTTTCAATAAATCGATTTAATTTGTTAGCAAAAGGTTTTGATATTACACTTGTAAGTGATCCTGTATCCAGAATTAAATAAAACAGAGTTTTATCAATACTGGCATTACAGTAAACTATATTCACAGCTTCCTTAGGTTTTGGTTGTTCATTAGTAGAAATTAGTAAGAGTGCTAATTTAAACTAATTTTGATTATTAATATAATTAGAATTATTGTCCTTTAAGATATATGAATGATTATTGTTATAAATATTATTATGATCATTTAATAAAGAAGTAGAAGGTAGAATATTAGATAAAAAATTTGGTTAACAGCTACTACTGTTCTCACAGTGTGCCTTTAGGAGTTTAAAAATTGTGCTGAGTTTCAAATAAAGCTTTGTAAATCCTCAGCAAAAAGTGTAAAATATGTGGGATAAGTATTTTGATTATTTGAAGATAAAAGAGTTTGTGATTGTAATTGAAGATTATTCCTTGGTAATTGTTGATTGTTATTATTAGTTTGATTATTATTATATTGGAAGTTTCCTCTCCTTTGATTATTATTATTAGAGTTGTTATTGCTATTTCTTTTATAACAATCATGTGCACTATGGCCCTTTTTATTACAGATTTGGCACACAATTACGTTTCGTTAAGAAGAACCATTATTTTGATTATTATTTTTGTTATTGTGGTTATTATTATTGTTATTGTTTTGGGAAGTATTAGATTTAGGTTGATTTTGCTGTTTAAGATAGTTTAAAACAGCTTGGACAGCTTGAGAAACTTCAATCTTTAGTAGCTTTGGCATGAATCAAAGCCTGAGCTATAGTAGTAGGACAAGAAATTTCAACTGATTCCTGAATTTCACTTTTTAATCCATCAATAAATTGTCATAATTTATTCTCTATTGGATATTGATTATTCAGATCAACTTTTTGATATAAATGCTCCAATTTAGTATAATAATCCTCAACAGTTTCACCTAATTGTTGAACTCAAGACCGAAGATCAGCAAGCTATCGAGATTTTTGATATGTAGTACAAAACTGAAAGTGAAATAGATAGACAAAGAATTGATTTGGTTTTGATTTATTTTTCCAAAACTTAATATTACTAGCAATGGTCCTCCACCAAGATTGTGTTGATCCTTTTAGATAAACAGGAATAATAGTATTGACATTAAAAAAGAAGCTATTTGAAGTATAACTTAACAACCATCAATCTAATCAAGATAAAACTACTATCATTCGAACCAGCTCATCAAGATGAACCTAAAGGTGGTGAGATCATCTAAATCCAATCACAGAAAGCTGAGATATCATTAAAAATGTGATTTGCTAAGTGATTTATATATAGATTACATGTGTCACAATCTGATTGACTGATAATTTACTGTGTGAAATGTTCTACATATAGTATATTTATTACATGTCATATTTGTAGCATCTATATTATTTATTTTACATATCATATATATATTATTTGTGTTATATGTAGTA